TAAAATATCCACCAGGACTATCTATCCCTATACAATATCCACCAGGACATCTATACCTATACAATATCCACCAGGACTATCTGTACCTATACAAAAATCCACCAGGACTACTTTACCTATACAATACCACCAGGAACTTCTAAAACCTATACAATATCCCCAGGACTAACTTACCTATACAATATCCACCAGGACAAACTATACCTATACAATATCCAAACCAGGATAACTGTACCTAAAAAATTCCACCAGGACAAAACGTAACTATACAAATATCCCACCAGGATCTAACCTATAAAATATCCCGAGACTAACTACTATACAATATCCCCAAAGGACTAACTGTACCTATACATATCCACCAGGATATTAGTACCTAACAAATCCACCAGGACTAACTGTACCTATAAAAATACCCACCGGGGGACTATCTTATACCTATACAATATCCCCCAGGACTCTCCCTGGGTTTAACCTATACAATACCACCAGGACTAATATCATCCAGGACCTAACTACAATACCCACCGGACTATCTGTACCTTTTACAATATCCACCAGGACCTATCTATACCTATACAATATCCACCGGGGGTATACTGTACCTATACAATACCAACCAGGACTATTATACATACAATATCACCAGGCCCTATCTAACCTATACAATATCCACCAGGACTACTATACCTATACAATATCCCCCCAGGACTATCTATACCTATACAATCCCACCAGGACTATCATACCTATACAATCCCACCGGGACTTCTACCTTAAAATTCCCCGGGACTACTGTACCTATACAATTCCCCAGACTATCTATAACCTAACAAATACCAACCAGGACTATCTATAACCTCAAACAAAAAAACCCACCAGGACTATCTATACCTTACAACCCCCACCAGACAAACTGTACCTATACATATCCACCAGGACTAACTGTACCTATACAAAAAAAACCAAACCAGGAAAACTATCCTTACCTATACAATATCTACCAGGACTATCTATACCTATACAATACCACCAGGACTATCTATACCATACAATATCCAAAAGACTATCTACTATACAAACCCACCAGGACTATCCTAACCTATACAATACCCACCAGGACTACCCAAAACTAAAACATCCCCCACCAGAACTATCTTAAATACAAAAAAAACGGCATATCTATACCTATACAATATCCACCAGGACTATCTAAAACCTCTACAATCCACCAGGACTATTATCTCTACATATCCACCAGGACTAACGTACCTATACAAATATCCACCAGGACTAACGTACCTTACATATCCCCGGACATATGTACCATACAATCTCCACCAGGACAACGTACCTATACAACCACCAGGACTATCTATACCTATACAATATCCACCAGACTATTGTACCTTACAATACCCACCAGACTATTCTATACCATACATATCCACCAGGGACTATCTACATTTACATGTACATTTTAGGTCATTTAGCAGACGCTCTACCAGAGCGACTTACAGGAGCAATTAGGGTTAAGTGCCTTGCTCAAGGGCACATTGAACGTCATTTAGCAGACGCTCTTAGCCAGAGCGACTCACAAAATTGGTGCGTTCACCCTATAGCCAGTGGGATAACCACTTTACAATTTGGTGGGGTGGGGGGGTGGGGGGGGGGTTAGAAGGAATACTTTAGCCTATCCCAGGGTATTCCTTAAAGAGGTGGGGTTTCAAATGTCTCCGGAAGGTGGTGAGTGACTCCGCTGTCCTGGCGTCGTGAGGGAGCTTGTTCCACCATTGGGGTGCCAGAGCAGCGAACAGTTTTGACTGGGCTGAGGGGGAGCTGTGCTTCCGCAGAGGAAGGGGAGCCAGCAGGCCAGAGGTGGATGAACGCAATGTCCTCGTTTGGGTGTAGGGACTGATCAGAGCCTGAAGGTACAGGGGTGCCGTTCCCCTCACTGCTCCAAAGGCAAGCACCATGGTCTTGTAGCGGATGCGAGCTTCAATTGGAAGCCAGTGGAGTGTGCGGAGGAGGGGGGGTGACGTGAGAGAACTTGGGAAGGTTGAACACCAGACGGGCTGCGGCATTCTGGATGAGTTGTAGGGGTTTAATGGCACAGGCAGGGAGCCCAGCCAACAGCGAGTTGCAGTAGTCCAGACGGGAGATGACAAGTGCCTGGACCAGGACCTGCGCCGCTTCCTGTGTAAGGCAGGGTCGCACTCTCCGAATGTTGTAGAGCATGAACCTGCAGGAGCGGGTCACCGCCTTGATGTTGGCGGAGAACGACAGGGTGTTGTCCAGGGTCACGCCTAGGCTCTTCGCACTCTGGGAGGAGGACACAGCGGAGTTGTCTACCGTGATGGCGAGATCATGGAACGGGCAGTCCTTCCCGGGGAGGAAGAGCAGCTCCGTCTTGCCAGGGTTCAGCTTGAGGTGGTGATCCGTCATCCATACTGATATGTCTGCCAGACATGCAGAGATGCGATTCGCCACCTGGTGATCAGAATACCCACCAGGACTATCTATACCTATACAATACCCACCAGGACTATCAGTACCTATACATTACCCACCAGAACTATCTGTACATATACAATATCCACCAGGACTATCTATACCTATACAATATCCACCAGGACTATCTATACCTATACAATACCCACCAGGACTATCTGTACCTATACAATATCCACCAGGACTATCTGTACCTATACAATACCCTTCAGGACTATCTATACCTATACAATATCCACCAGGACTATCTATACCTCTACAATATCCACCAGGACTATCTATACCTCTACAATATCCACCAGGACTAACTGTACCTATACAATATCCACCAGGACTAACTGTACCTATACAATACCCACCAGGACTACCTGTACCTATACAATATCAACCAGGACTATCTATACCTACACAATACCCACCAGGACTATCTATACCTATACAATACCCACCAGGACTAACTGTGCCTATACAATATCCACCAGGACTAACTGTACCTATACAATACCCACCAGGACTATCTATACCTATACAATATCCACCAGGACTATCTATACCTATACAATATCCACCAGGACTATCTATACCTATACAATATCCACCAGGACTATCTATACCTATACAATATCCACCAGGACTATCTATACCTATACAATACCCACCAGGACTATCTATACCTATACAATACCCACCAGGACTATCAGTACCTATACATTACCCACCAGAACTATCTATACCTATACAATATCCACCAGGACTAACTGTATCTATACAATATCCACCAGGACTGTCTATACCTATACAATATCCACCAGGACTAACTGTACCTTACAATATCCACCAGGACTATCTGTACCTATACAATACCCACCAGGACTAACTGTACCTATACAATACCCACCAGGACTAACTGTACCTATACAATACCCACCAGGACTACCTGTACCTATACAATATCAACCAGGGCTATCTATACCTACACAATACCCACCAGGACTATCTATACCTATACAATACCCACCAGGACTAACTGTACCTATACAATATCCACCAGGACTAACTGTACCTATACAATACCCACCAGGACTATCTATACCTATACAATATCCACCAGGACTATCTATACCTATACAATATCCACCAGGACTATCTATACCTATACAATATCCACCAGGACTATCTATACCTATACAATATCCACCAGGACTATCTATACCTATACAATATCCACCAGGACTATCTGTACCTATACAATATCCACCAGGACTATCTATACCTATACAATATCCACCAGGACTATCTATACCTATACAATATCCACCAGGACTATCTATACCTATACAATATCCACCAGGACTATCTATACCTCTACAATATCCACCAGGACTAACTGTACCTATACAATATCCACCAGGACTAACTGTACCTATACAATATCCACCAGGAATATCTATACCTATACAATATCCACGAGGACTAACTGTACCTATACAATATCCACCAGGACTAACTGTACCTATACAATATCCACCAGGACTATATGTACCTACAAAATATCTACCAGGACTAACTGTACCTATAAAATACCCACCAGGACTATCTATACCTATACAATATCCACCAGGACTAACTGTACCTATACAATATCCACCAGGACTATCTATACCTATACAATATCCACCAGGACTAACTGTACCTATACAATATCCACCAGGACTATCTATACCTATACAATATCCACCAGGACTATCTGTACCTATACAATATCCAACAGGACTATCTATACCTATACAATATCCACCAGGACTATCTATACCTATACAATATCCACCAGGACTATCTATACCTATACAATATCCACCAGGACTATCTATACCTATACAATACCCACCAGGACTATCTATACCTATACAATATCCACCAGGACTATCTCTACCTATACAATATCCACCAGGACTAACTGTACCTATACAATATCCACCAGGACTATCTATACCTATACAATACCCACCAGGACTATCTATACCTACACAATACCCACCAGGACTATCTATACCTATACAATACCCACCAGGACTAACTGTACCTATACAATATCCACCAGGACTAACTGTACCTATACAATACCCACCAGGACTATCTATACCTATACAATATCTACCAGGACTATCTATACCTATACAATATCCACCAGGACTATCTATACCTATACAATATCCACCAGGACTATCTATACCTATACAATACCCACCAGGACTATCATACCTATACAATACCCACCAGGACTATCAGTACCTAACATTTTCCCACCAGAAACTATCTGGTACATATACAACCACCAGGACTTCTATACCTATACAATATCCACCAGGACTATCTATACCTCTTTCAATATCCACCAGGACATCTACCCCTACAATATCCACCAGGACTAACTGTACCTATACAATAACCCACCAGGAAACTGTACCTATACAATTCCACAGGACTATATGTACCTATACAACTCCACCAGGACTAACTGTACCTATACAATATCCACCAGGACTATCTATACCTATCAATATCCACCAGGACTATATGTACCTATCAATACCCACCAGACTATCTATACCTATACAATATCCACCAGACTATCTATACCTATACAATACCCCCCAGGACTATCTTATACCCATACAAAAACCCCCCAGGACTATCAGTACCTATACTTACCCACAGAACTATCTGTACATATACAATATCCACCAGGACTATCTATACCTATACAATATCCACCAGGACTATCTATACCTATACAATACCCACCAGGACTATCTGTACCTATACAATATCCACCAGGACTATCTGTACCTATACAATACCCTTCAGGACTATCTATACCTATACAATATCCACCAGGACTATCTATACCTCTACAATATCCACCAGGACTATCTATACCTCTACAATATCCACCAGGACTAACTGTACCTATACAATATCCACCAGGACTAACTGTACCTATACAATATCCACCAGGACTATATGTACCTATACAATCTCCACCAGGACTAACTGTACCTATACAATATCCACCAGGACTATCTATACCTATACAATATCCACCAGGACTATATGTACCTATACAATACCCACCAGGACTATCTATACCTATACAATATCCACCAGGACTATCTATACCTATACAATATCCACCAGGACTATCTATACCTATACAATACCCACCAGGACTATCTGTACCTATACAATATCCACCAGGACTATCTGTACCTATACAATACCCTTCAGGACTATCTATACCTATACAATATCCACCAGGACTATCTATACCTATACAATATCCACCAGGACTATCTGTACCTATACAATACCCACCAGGACTATCTATACCTATACAATATCCACCAGGACTATCTATACCTATACAATATCCACCAGGACTATCTGTACCTATACAATACCCACCAGGACTATCTATACCTATACAATATCCACCAGGACTATCTATACCTATACAATATCCACCAGGACTATCTGTACCTATACAATACCCACCAGGACTATCTATACCTCTACAATATCCACCAGGACTAACTGTACCTATACAATATCCACCAGGACTAACTGTACCTTTACAATATCCACCAGGACTATATGTACCTATACAATCTCCACCAGGACTAACTGTACCTATACAATATCCACCAGGACTATCTATACCTATACAATATCCACCAGGACTATATGTACCTATACAATACCCAAACCCGGACTATCTATACCTATACAATACCACCAGGATATCTATACTATACAATACCCACCAGACTATTATACCTATACAATACCCCCCAGGACTATCATACCTTACCCTTACCCACCAGAACTATCTTACTATACAATATCCACCAGGACTAAACTATACCTATACAATATCCACCAGGACTATCATAACCTCTACAATACCACCAGGACTATCTATACCTCTAAAATATCCACCAGGACTAACTGTACCTCTACAAAATCCCCGGACTAACTCTACCTATACAATACCCACCAGGACTATATGTACCTATACCTCCCACAGGACTAACTGTACCCATAACAAAATCCACCAGGACTATCTTACCTATACAATATCCACCAGGACTATATGCCTATACAAATCCACCAGGACTAACTGTTACCTATACAATACCACCAGGACTATCTATACCTATACAATATCCACCCGGACTATCTATCCTAACAATATCCCCCAGGACTATCTATACCTATACAATATCCACCAGGACTATCTATACTATACAATATCCACCAGGACTATCTATAACCTATACAATACCCACCAGGACTATCTATACCTATACAATTACCCACCAGGACTATCAGTACCTATACATTACCCACCAGAACTATCTATACCTATACAATATCCACCAGGACTAAACTGTACCTATACAATATCCACCAGGGACTAACTGTTAACCTATACAATATCCACCAGGACTATATGTACCTATACAATCTCCACCAGGACTAACTGTACCTATACAATATCCACCAGGACTATCTATACCTATACAATATCCACCAGGACTATATGTACCTATACAATACCCACCAGGACTATCTATACCTATACAATATCCACCAGGAATATCTATACCTATACAATACCCACCAGGACTATCAGTACGTATACATTACCCACCAGATCTATCTGTACATATACAATATCCACCAGGACTATCTATACCTATACAATATCCACCAGGACTATCTATACCTCTACAATATCCACCAGGACTATCAGTACCTATACATTACCCACCAGAACTATCTATACCTATACAATATCCACCAGGACTAACTGTACCTATACAATATCCACCAGGACTAACTGTACCTATACAATATCCACCAGGACTATATGTACCTATACAATCTCCACCAGGACTAACTGTACCTATACAATATCCACCAGGACTATCTATACCTATACAATATCCACCAGGACTATATGTACCTATACAATACCCACCAGGACTATCTATACCTATACAATATCCACCAGGAATATCTATACCTATACAATACCCACCAGGACTATCTATACCTATACAATACCCACCAGGACTATCTGTACCTATACAATACCCACCAGGACCATCTATACCTATACAATATCCACCAGGACTATCTATACCTATACAATATCCACCAGGACTATCTCTACCTATACAAAACCCTCTTCACCTATATTGATGCTTTAGAAAGCTCAGGCATTTGTACGTTTTCCTATGAGTGTGTGTGTGTTTTTTTTTTGTGTGTGTGTGTGTGTGTGTGTGTGAGAGAGAGAGAGAGGTCACAGGGGGGGCACGTGCCCATGTTAAATACAACTGCTGTGTCAGGAAATGAAAGGTCAGCATTTCACAGAGAGGCGGGGCAGCCGAGGCTAGATAGGTCCCCTCATTGGCCAGCCCAGGTGTCATTCAGAGCCTTCGGCCAATGATAGGCTGTGGATGTGGAAATATTTCCCCATAGAAGCAGACCTCTAGAGCAGACAAAGCCCCTCAGATCACTGGTGTGGGAGGTTAACTAAATATGGCTGACTAATAGTGTTACCATTGTTACATGTAGAGCACTGAGAAAGGTTCAGAACTCTGATAGAATGTATAGAATGCTGGTGTTCCAAGCATAGATCCAACATTCCATATAGTCCAGCACACATGGCTGCCAAAGTAGAACACTGATGTGAAAGAGATGTCTCATCTACTGATTCTATTTCTGTGTTTTGTCCCTGTATCGTCCTCTGAGTCCGAGTCTACATATAAACCACGATGAAGCAAGTCACTTAAAATACACTCCATCATAGTAGAAGGTCTCTCTGGATAAGAGTCTGGTCAATTACCAAAAGGTAAATGTATACAGTAATGTATGTATTATAAAGATCTCAATGATGATCAGAGCTGAAACCTCAGTTATTAATACATGTTCTTCATCCTTCCAGACTGCCAATAAGTCCTGCAGCTCAGACCTACTGTACCTGGAACAAACAGATTAACGTTATTATTAAGGTTATACACAGTTATAACACTTATTATTAAGGTTATACACAGTTATAACACTTATTATTAAGGTTATACACAGTTATAACCGTTATTATTAAGGTTATACACAGTTATAACCGTTATTATTAAGGTTATACACAGTTATAACACTTATTATTAAGGTTATTCACAGTTATAACAGTTATTATTAAGGTTATACACAGTTATAACCGTTATTATTAAGGTTATACACAGTTATAACACTTATTATTAAGGTTATTCACAGTTATAACAGTTATTATTAAGGTTATACACAGTTATGACACGGTTATTATTAAGGTTATACACAGTTATGACCGTTATTATTAAGGTTATACACAGTTATAACCGTTATTATTAAGGTTATACACAGTTATGACACGGTTATTATTAAGGTTATACACAGTTATGACACGGTTATTATTAAGGTTATACACAGTTATGACAGTTATTATTAAGGTTATACACAGTTATGACACGGTTATTATTAAGGTTATACACAGTTATGACAGTTATTATTAAGGTTATACACAGTTATGACACGGTTATTATTAAGGTTATACACAGTTATAACAGTTATTATTAAGGTTATTCACAGTTATAACAGTTATTATTAAGGTTATACACAGTTATAACAGTTATTATTAAGGTTATACACTGTTATGACATAGTTATTATTAAGGTTATACACAGTTATAACCGTTATTATTAAGGTTATACACAGTTATGACAGTTATTATTAAGGTTATACACAGTTATAACCGTTATTATTAAGGTTATACACAGTTATGACACGGTTATTATTAAGGTTATACACAGTTATAACCGTTATTATTAAGGTTATACACAGTTATGACACGGTTATTATTAAGGTTATACACAGTTATGACAGTTATTATTAAGGTTATACACAGTTATGACACGGTTATTATTAAGGTTATACACAGTTATGACAGTTATTATTAAGGTTATTTACAGTTATAACCGTTATTATTAAGGTTATACACAGTTATGACACGGTTATTATTAAGGTTATACACAGTTATGACAGTTATTATTAAGGTTATACACAGTTATGACACGGTTATTATTAAGGTTATACACAGTTATGACACGGTTATTATTAAGGTTATACACAGTTATGACAGTTATTATTAAGGTTATACACAGTTATAACAGTTATTATTAAGGTTATTCACAGTTATAACCTTTATTATTAAGGTTATACACAGTTATAACAGTTATTATTAAGGTTATTCACAGTTATAACCGTTATTATTAAGGTTATACACAGTTATAACCGTTATTATTAAGGTTATACACAGTTATAACCGTTATTATTAAGGTTATTCACAGTTATAACCGTTATTATTAAGGTTATACACAGTTATAAACGTTATTATTAAGGTTATTCACAGTTATAACCGTTATTATTAAGGTTATACACTGTTATGACATAGTTATTATTAAGGTTATACACAGTTATAACACTTATTATTAAGGTTATACACAGTTATAACCGTTATAACCTGGTGTAAGAACAATATGAAACCAATATGAAACCAATATGAAACCAATATGAAACCAATATGAAACCAATATGAAACCAATAAGCTCTATAATATGTGATACACCTGTCTCAGTCAATGTGACTGTCATTAACCCATTACAGCCCTGTCTAAGCCGGGGGAGGGGTTCTACTTAGCTATATGGAATTGTTTGAAGAAGGTCATACCAAGGATCATTTAGCTATTTCATTTTAAATTTTAAGACCCCTTGAAGTATCCCAAAAATATATGAAAAAAATATTTTACCAAGAAGGAGAGTGATGGAGTGCTGCATCCGATGACCTGGCTTCCACAATCCCCCGACCTCAACCCAATTGAGATGGTTTGGGATGAGTCGGACGGCAGAGTGAAGGAAAAGCGGCCAAAAAGTGCTCAGCATATGTGGGAACTCCTTCAAGACTGTTGGAAAAGCATTCCAGGTGAAGCTGGTTGAGAGAACGCCAAGAGTGTGCAAAGCTGTCATCAAGGCAAAGGGTGGCTATTTGAAGAGTCTCAAATATAAAATATATTTTGATTTGTTTAACAATTTTTTGGTTACTACATGATTCCATATGTGTTATTTCATAGTTTTGAAGTCTTCACTATTATTCTACAATGTAGAAAATAGTAAAAATAAAGACAATTCCTTGAATGAGTAGGTGTGTCCAAACTTTTGACTGGTAGTGTATATTCTTCTTTTGTATTTAACCCCTTCTTTTCGGCACTAAACAGTTTCCATATATACTTCAATTTTTTTCAACTGGTACCGGGGGACCTTCAGACGAGTCTCGTGAGGCCTGTGGGCGTCCTAGAGCAAAACATGTGCGTGTTCGTGAGAGTCTCACCCTTCCACAGAGGTATCTTATTAGTGTGTAGCCCAAACAGAAGTTGGCAGATCGGCTGTACTGATTTCAGACGAGTCCCAAGATGCTTGTGGGGGCCGTAGAGCAAAACGGAGAACACCATCATGTTCGTGAGAGTCTCATCTTTCTCATCTCTCCATTCGGACGCTACAGACGATTTTGTGAGAAGACTGATTTTCAGGATGTCTCATGGTCTGCCAAACACTGCTGTAGCTCTGTCACCTTTCACCACAGATGTGGAAATGTAACATGGGTCGGATGCGGTGGATTGAGACACATCCAATGAAAAAAAAAAACAGATCTCTAGCTTAAACTGACATATTCTTGTGAGGATTCTTTTATTATGCTAATTAGATTTCCACGGGGGCCCGGACATCGACTCTCGTGGGTTTTAAACAGAATAAACAGATGATTTATTGAAGTTACAGTGTGAGACTCCCATTCCTCCTTGTTGCACCTGTAAGGTGCCCCAAATGTTACCCTATTCCCTTGTAATGCACTTTTGACCAAGGCCAATTGGGCCCACTACATAGGATACTGTATGTGGTGCCATTTGGGAAGCAAATCTTAGTTTAATCAAAATCTCTTCAGATCTGACATCATTACCAGTATCGAGTGATGACTTCACTGGCGACAAAATAAAAAGTGTAACATGCTCCGAATACAACAGGTGTAGACCTCACAGTGAAACGCTCACTGACAAGCCCTTAACCAACAGGTGTAGACCTCACAGTGAAACGCTCACTGACAAGCCCTTAACCAACAGGTGTAGACCTCACAGTGAAACGCTCACTGACAAGCCCTTAACCAACAGGTGTAGACCTCACAGTGAAACGCTCACTGACAAGCCCTTAACCAACAATGCCGTTTTAAGAAACTAGAGTTAAGAAAATATTTACTAAATAAACTAAAGTAAAAAATAAAATAAAAAGTAACACAATAAAATAACAACAACGAGGCTATATACAGGGGGTACCGG